TTGCGGGGGGGGGAGGAAGGGGGAGATGGTGGGGAGCGGGGGGAGGGGGTGCAAGAGGGGGGGGACTCCCCCCCCCCACAAAGAAGTGCATCAGCATGAACCCGAGACGAGCAACAACAACAACAACACAACAACAAATGTAATTATAAAAATGTAAGCGGAATATATATTTAAATAAAGTTAAATACTGCGTTAGCAGCCGTAGTTATAATAAGCCGCATTGTTAAATACACCACTTGCGAAGTCGTCTCCCGCACGCTCATAACCCTAACCCTGCTGTGTTGTTGTTGTGTTGTTGTGGTGTTGTTGTGTTGTTGTTGTTGTGTTGTTGTGTTGTGTTGTTGTGTTGTGTTCTTGTGTTGTTGTGTTGTTGTTGTTGTGTTGTTGTGTTGTTGTTGTGTTGTTGTTGTGTTGTTGTTGTGTTGTGTTGTTGTGTTGTGTTGTTGTTGTGTTGTTGTTGCTGTGTTGTTGTGTTGTTGTTGTTATTGTTTTGTTGCTGTGCTGTTGTTGTTGTGTTGTTGGTGTGTTGTTGTTGCTGTGTTGTTGTTGTTGTGTTGTTGTTGTGTTGTTGCTGTGTTGTGTTGTTGTTGTGTTGTTGCTGTGTTGTTGTTGTGTTGTTGTGTTGTTGTGTTGTTGTTGTGTTGTTGTTGCTGTGTTGTTTTTGTTGTGTTGTTGTGTTGTTGCTGTGTTGTTGTTGTGTTGTTGCTGTGTTGTTGTTGTGTTGTTGTTGTGTTGTTGTTGTGTTGTTGTTGTGTTGTTGTTGTGTTGTTGTGTTGTTGCTGTGTTGTTGTGTTGTTGTTGTGTTGTTGTTGTGTTGTTGCTGTGTTGTTGTTGTGTTGTTGCTGTGTTGTTGTTGTTGTGTTGTTGTTGCTGTGTTGTTGTGTTGTTGTGTTGTTGTTGTGTTGTTGTTGTGTTGTTGTTGCTGTTGTTGTGTTGTTGCCGTGTTGTTGCTGTTGCTGTGTTGTTGTGTTGTGTTGTTGTGTTGTTGTGTTGTTGTTGTGTTGTTGTTGTGTTGTTGTGTTGTTGTTGTGTTGTTGTTGCTGTGTTGTTGTTGTTGTGTTGTTGCTGTGTTGTTGTTGTGTTGTTGTTGTGTTGTTGTTGTTGTTATTGTGTTGTTGTTGTGTTGTTGTGTTGTTATTGTGTTGTTATTGTGTTGTTGTGCTGTTGTGTTGTTGTTGTGTTGTTGTTGTGTTGTTGTTGTGTTGTTGTTGTGTTGTTGTTGTTGTTGTGTTGTTGTTGTGTTGTTGTTGCTGTGTTGTTGTTGTGTTGTTGTTGTGTTGTTGTTGCTGTGTTGTTGTTGTTGTTGCTGTGTTGTTGTTGTTGATGTTGTTGTTGTTGCTGTGTTGTTGTTGATGATGTTGTTGTTGTTGATGATGTTGTTGTTGCTGTTGTTGTTGTTGCTGTGTTGTTGTTGTTGTGTTGTTGTGTTGTTGTGTTGTTGCTGTGTTGTTGCTGTGGATTTACACAACGAGAAATAACATGACGAGGTCATCACACGTGGAGACCCGCGCGCGCGTCATAACGGAGTGCTTTGTGACGTCACGGACATCCGTTTGCCCTTCCTTGCCTGAGCGCGAGCGGCATTTTACGTACGACAAGAACAACAAGAACAACAACAACACAGCCACGACCAATCAATCCACGGCCAGCTGTGAATCCACCCGTTAGGATCTCCCAGTTTTCGCGTTCAGTCTCTGGCTACGAGCCCTCCACTGCCCCCCCCCCCACGTCTTACTCTTAAGAGAAAATATAAATATATAATCAGACATCGTTCACTATGAAGCACAACAGCATGGCAGCATGCCAGCAGCATCCCGATGATACACGCATGAAACATTAAACACGGTAATGGGTGGGTGGTGGTGGTGGTGTGAATATATAACGACGAAGGAGACATCATCACAGCGATGATGATGATACAACTACTCCGCCACTGCCACCCCTGACGCCGCTTAATCTGCTGGGCTTGAGCAACCTGAAGGGGACGGTGTGGGTTCGCTGCCTCTGCATCTGCGGCCAGACGGTGAGAGGCACTGTTCTCCCCACGCGCGTTTCGACTGTAAATTTTCCGAATGATGGGCCACTTTTTGTTGAGCTATCGTTCGTGGCCAGGTCGCGGATGTTCACCGACACACCTAGGGGTTGATGCAGAAGTTCACCGACACACCTGGGGGCTTGACGCAGAAGTTCACCGACACACCTAGGGGCTGATGCAGATGTTCACCGACACACCTGGGGGCTGATGCAGAAGTTCACCGACACACCTAGGGGCTTGACGCAGAAGTTCACCGACACACCTGGGGGCTTGACGCAGAAGTTCACCGACACACCTAGGGGTTGATGCAGAAGTTCACCGACACACCTAGGGGCTGATGCAGAAGTTCACCGACACACCTAGGGGTTGATGCAGAAGTTCACCGACACACCTGGGGGCTGATGCAGAAGTTCACCGACACACCTGGGGGCTGCCGCGGGCTTTCACCGAACGCAAGGAACAACGAAAGTCACGAGTTCGAGCGCGGGCAAAGCCGTGAGGACGATCCCTGCCTGGCAAGAGGTTGCGGGCTGCCCCCATACCCCGCTGATGATCACAAGGAGAGGCGGCGCTTCGTCGACGACTCCAGCCCCGGCGTGGAAAGTCGGTCCTGGAGTTATTTCAGCCGGGGGTCCACGCGCGAGCTGCGAGTCGCGCGCGACTCAGCTTCCCGCCACGGAATCGCTTACAGAGACGTGGGCGTCCTCGTCCAATTGCGTGCGGTCACGTGCAACCCCCCCCTCCCCCCCCGCCCCCCGCCCCCCGCCCCCCGCCGCCGTTGCTCGCGGCAGAGTTTCACAATCCGACGTTGCACCGCCGACCGCGTGCTCGGCGGCATTCGGCGAGCTCCGATTGGCCCTCGCAACTGCCGACGCGCGCCTCGTTCGATTGGCGCGTCGGCGCCGGCGAGCCGCCCCGGGCGACTCGAGTCGGGCGAGACTCGGGATTGGTGGTGGACAAGCGCACAGCTGTCGACCCGCACGGTTCACCCCGTATGCTAGCGCAGGGGAAATTGAGTTTGCAGGTCCGTAGGGCGTACGGCCGTTTCGATACGGGCAACATTTTTTGTTACAGAAAAAGTAAGTGTTTGTCTATTCGATTGTTGTTACTCCCCTGTGATGGGGCTTTGTAGGATGAACGTTGAGATTTATAAGAGGCACGAGGTGACCACTAAAGGTCTGAATTGGTCTGTAATAAGGTAGGGCACTGATAAGCGGTTCGCGGGTATGCAAGCACAGTGAACAATAACACACACACACACACAAAACCACTCAAACCACGTTTCGTCGATAATGACACTTGGTGCTGACTCCACGTGGGGGGAGGTGGAGAGGGGGGGGAGCACGTGGGGGGAGGAGGGTGTGTGTCTCGGGACTCTCACACGACACTTACTTGACACTCACACCGACACCCGCGCACGCGACACTCACAGGTAGAAGTCAGGCGACACGTGCGTGTCTCTGTCTGTCTGTCTCTCCGTGTGTATCTCGGGACACTCACACCAACACTCACACCAACACTCACAGGTAGAAGTCAGGCGACACGTGCGTGTCTCTGTCTGTCTCTCTGTGTGTATCTCGGGACACTCACACCAACACTCACAGGTAGAAGCCAGGCGACACGTGGGTGTCTCTGTCTGTCTCTCTGTGTGTATCTCGGGACACTCACACCAACACTCACACCAACACTCACAGGTAGAAGCCAGGCAACACGTGTGTGTCTCTGTCTGTCTCTCTGTGTGTATCTCGGGACACTCACACCAACACTCACAGGTAGGAGCCAGGCGACACGTGCGTGTCTCTGTGTGTCTGTCTCTCTGTGTGTATCTCGGGACACTCACACCAACACTCACACCGACACTCACAGGTAGAAGCCAGGCAACACGTGCGTGCCTCTGTCTGTCTCTCTGTGTGTATCTCGGGACACTCACACCAACACTCACACCAACACTCACAGGTAGAAGCCAGGCGACACGTGTGTGTCTCTGTCTGTCTCTCTGTGTGTATCTCGGGACACTCACACCAACACTCACAGGTAGAAGCCAGGCAACACGTGCGTGTCTCTGTCTGTCTGTCTCTCTGTGTGTATCTCGGGACACTCACACCAACACTCACAGGTAGAAGTCAGGCGACATGTGCGTGTCTCTGTCTGTCTCTCTGTGTGTATCTCGGGACACCAACACTCACACCAACACTCACAGGTAGAAGCCAGGCGACACGTGCGTGTTTCTGTCTGTCTGTCTGTGGGTATCTTGGGACACTCACACCAACACTCACACGTAGAAGCCAGGCAACACGTGCGTGTCTCTGTCTGTCTGTCTCTCTGTGTGTATCTCGGGACATTCGCACCGACACTCACAGGTAGGAGCCAGGCGACATGTGTGTGTCTCTGTCTGTCTGTCTCTCTGTGTGTATCTCGGGACACTCACACCAACACTCACAGGTAGAAGCCAGGCAACACGTGCGTGCCTCTGTCTGTCTCTCTGTGTGTATCTCGGGACACTCACACCAACACTCACACCAACACTCACAGGTAGAAGCCAGGCGACATGTGTGTGTCTCTGTCTGTCTCTCTGTGTGTATCTCGGGACACTCACACCAACACTCACAGGTAGAAGCCAGGCGACATGTGCGTGTCTCTGTCTGTCTGTCTCTCTGTGTGTATCTCGGGACACTCACACCAACACTCACACCAACACTCACAGGTAGAAGCCAGGCGACATGTGCGTGTCTCTGTCTGTCTGTCTCTCTGTGTGTATCTCGGGACACTCACACCAACACTCACAGGTAGAAGCCAGGCGACATGTGCGTGTCTCTGTCTGTCTGTCTGTCTCTCTGTGTGTATCTCGGGACACTCACACCAACACTCACAGGTAGAAGCCAGGCGACATGTGCGTGTCTCTGTCTGTCTGTCTCTCTGTGTGTATCTCGGGACACTCACACCAACACTCACACCAACACTCACAGGTAGAAGCCAGGCGACATGTGCGTGTCTCTGTCTGTCTGTCTCTCTGTGTGTATCTCGGGACACTCACACCAACACTCACAGGTAGAAGCCAGGCAACACGTGCGTGTCTCTTCTGTCTGTCTCTCTGTGTGTATCTCGGGACACTCGCACCGACACTCACAGGTAGAAGCCAGGCAACACGTGTGTGTCTCTGTCTGTCTGTCTCTCTGTGTGTATCTCGGGACACTCACACCAACACTCACACCAACACTCACAGGTAGAAGCCAGGCAACACGTGCGTGTCTCTGTCTCTCTGTGTGTATCTCGGGACACTCACACCGACACTCACAGGTAGAAGCCAGGCAACACGGGGCTCCGGCTACGCGGCGCCCCGGAGCAGGCGAGTCGCTCGCACTTGTCCTTGTACGCGTCGCGCTCGCGGCACAGGCGCGCCAGCTCCCGCTCCAGCTCGTCCACCTGCCGCTGCAGCAGGGACTTCTCGCTCTCCAGCAGGTGCCGCTGCTGCACCCGCTTGTGGCGGCACGACTGTGCGTAGCCGCGGTTCTTGAGCGTCCGGCGGCGCTGCTTGAGGCGCGCGGCGTCGTCCTTGGCGAGGCCGCGCAGCTGCCGGTTCAGCTCGCGCACCGACATCGACACCAGCTGCTCGTCCGTGAAGCGCTCTTCCGAACAAGCGCCCCGGCACGGATGTCCCGCGCCGCTGCCGACGCTGCCGCTGCTGCCGCTGCAGCTCACGTTGCTGCTACTGCCTCCACAGCCGCTGTGCAGAAGCAACTGCTGCTGCTGGTGGTGGTTGCGGTGGTGGTGGTGGTGCTGCTGCTGTTGGCGCTGCGCCTCGGTGTTGTCGACGTCCTGGAGTTCATCCCGCAGGAGGTCGAGAGGCGAGTGAACTCCGCCGCCGCCGCCGCCGCCGGCCCCGCCGGCCTGCAGGAGGGCCCCGGGTCGGAGGTCGAACCCCTGGGACTGAGCCGAGTGGACGGCGCAGCCGATGAGAGCCTCCACCGCGTCCTCCGGGGTCAGGTTCAGCGCCTCGGCTGCGGCCACCGTGTCGACCACGTGCTGCTGCTGCTGCTGCTGGTGATGAGCGTGCAGGTGTAGCGTGCCGTGGCCCTGGTGGTTCTGCGCGTGGTTCATCACCCAGTAGAGGTCCTCCACCAGGAGGCCCGCACGCGGCGCGGAGCTCGGCACGCCGAGGACTGGCGACGGAGGCTCGGAACTGCGCGGGGTGCTCACGGGAGACGGCGACGATGACTGCAGAGAACCGGCCGCGCGAACTCGAACTTGGGACGGATCATCTTGCTGCTGTAGCTGTTGTAGCTGCTGCTGGTTGTGGTGGTTGTGCTGCTGCTGCTGCTGGTGGTGGTGGCGGTGATGGCCGGATTGTAGGTCCAGGGGCTCTCGTTTCACCTCGAGCTTCATGAGGTCAAAGTCGTTGACGTACTCCATCAGCACGGCCGACGACGCGGCCAGATCGCAGCCGCCACCGCCGCCGCCGCAGAGCGCCATCGCGGTCGCCATCCCAGGGCCAGGAGTCTTCCAAGGCCAATCAGTTCACTGGCTTGGTCCGTCCAACTCTCGGCTCGGCTCACCCCGAGAGGAGAGAGAGATTCAGACGGGGGATCTGTTTCAGTAGCGGTGGCGCAGAAGGCGGTGGTGGATGATGACGATGGTGATGATGGTGGTGGTGGTGATGGTGGGTGAGTTCAGACAACACAGACGATGAGCCCGGTGTTGTGGTAGTGGTGATGATGATGGTGGTGATGGTGATGATGGTGATGATGGTGATGATGGTGGGTGAGTTCAGACACCAACACAGACGATGAGCCCGGTGTGGTGGTAGTGGTGATGATGATGGTGGTGATGATGATGGTGGTGATGATGATGGTGGTGGTGGTGATGATGATGATGGTGATGATGCTCCTTCGTTCCTGCGCGGCGGAACAATGTCGTTACCCCCTACCCCCGCCGCGCGCGCGGGCACCTCCGATGAACGGGGCTGTTTACGCACGGGTGTCCAGCAGCAACTCAACCACCACAACCTTCAGCAGCAGCAGCAGCAAGTCGAACGCGCCCCCAGCGTGCGGAGCGGACGCTGCTTCTGCCGGCAAGTGACGCCGCCGTCAGTGTCTCTTTGTGGACGCAGTAACAGCAACAGCAACAACAGCAGTCGGTTTCTTTCACGTGAAGACGACCGCTTGCTGTTTGCGATCGAAACGTCGTGACCTGCAGTCGCGAAAGCCCCAAATCGAGGAGAAACTAAAAGTTTGCACGAAATGTTTGGGATTTTTTGTTTCTTTTTTTTCCGGGTACGCGCGGGTTTGCGCTGATGATTCAGTCGCACGGATGTTGACCCGCAGTCGGAGCCGAGTTTAAATGCCCAGCGCCTGTTGCTCCGTCGCAGCCTGCCGCCACCACAACCACCACCACAACCACAACGCACCACATGAACGTTGGCGTCGGTGCCCAAGCTTCGGGCTTGTGCCCTGTCCCCTCCGATTCGTTGGCGAAGGCGCGGTCACGCCGATTCAGCCGTAGCGCACCCTCTGTGCAGGTCCGTTGCGCACACTCGTGTGTGTGCGGCTCGTGCACGTGTGCACACGTGTCTGCGCGTGCGCGCGCGTGCTCGTGCGCGTGTGTGTGTGTATATACACACACGCGCGCGTGAGCGAGTTCTGTAGACACCCACCCGCGCACGACCGTCAGATGAGAGAGAGAGAGAGAGGCGGCAGGAGACGGGAACTCAACAACGATGACGATCGCGCGCGCGCGCGGCCCCCCTCCTCGCTGCGCTCCCGTCCACCACAGCTGCCGCGTACTCTTCCCAGCTCCTCAAACTTATGAACTCTCAGCAGGAGGCGGTGGAGGCTAGAGGGTGGGTGGGGTGGGGAGTCGGGATGGTGGTGGGGGGTTGAGGGTATCAGCTGAAGGGAGGAGAGGGGAGTGACTCCACACCCTCCCTGCGATGGGACGTGGAGAGTGGTTGGGAGGGCTACCTACCACCCTACCACCCTCGCTGCCTGTCCTCCCTCCCTCCCCTGACCCTCACCCACAACCCCCCACCCCTACCCAGACCCCCCACCTCCTACCCAGACTCCCGACTAGGGCACAAATGCAAAGTTGAGACATTTGCCCAAGTGCAGTGGCGCTAAGGCCCCCTTACACCGCAGCCTTGCAACTCCGTTTGGTTCTCAACGGTTTAAACGTTTCTCAATAAATACACAGAGGGTTTGATGGAAGCAAAGTAAGATGTTACTTGACGTGTACCCCGTGCTTAGTTTGTATTTTCGATTATTTACCTTGTTAAAAATAAAACATCTGGCCATGTCTCGCACCCCCCCCCCCCCAGAAAGGGCATCTCGCACCACCAGGGGGAGCGGTGAACCTCAGGTTAAGAAGAAGAAGAACCACTGGTCTAGTGTATTGGCGGCTATACATTGCCACGTGATAAAGCCACGTCGTTGATTCATAATAAACGTTTTTGGGTTAGATCGCGTTATTTATGAATGTGTCGTATCCCTCCACCATCCGACACGGCAATCAGCAAAAACAAAGTGTCACGTTGACAAAAGACAAAATATTATTGGTTCTTTCGGTAAAGTCACGTAGAAGGGAAACAATAAATAATACAAATATAAAACAATACAATTATCACGACGTTTCGACTGCAACGCAAGCAATCATCATCAGGTGTGATGATCATCAGGTGTGATGATGATTGCTTGTGTTGCAGTCGAAACGTCGTGAGAATTGTATTGTTTTATATTTTTATTATTTTATTGTTTCCCTTCTCCGTGGTGACTTTACCGAAAGAACCAAGACTATGAATCCCTGCAGTCACGAAAGCTTTAAATCAAAAAGACAAAAAAGTTCACTACTTTAGCCCACCCCAAAAAACGTTTATTATGAATAATATTGGTCGCGAAAGCCCACGTGTTAAACCACTTCGTTGAGTTATCATTTGTGGCCAGGTCGCTTCTGAACAATAAAAAAACTTTTTTTTTATAGCTCAGTGGGCCTTACCCGTGGTTGCGTGGATTTCTTCCCCGGGTCCTCCGGGTTTTCCCTCCACACTCAGAATGAACATCACGCGTCTAGACCGGCGGTTCTTCACCTTCACTGCAGCCTTTCACCCCTTTGGTTCTCATTTTTTTTGTTACGATCAGAGGAAACAAGAAGATGCTCGGTGTAGTCGGCACTTTGCTTCGTTCATCATTTCGTTTTTTTTCTTTCCATGATTTGCTTTATGCTCTGCTCTCCTCCTTCTTACCCCTTCCCTCTCTCTCTATCCCCTCTATCTACCCCCTCTATCTACCCCCTCTCTCTACCCCCCCCCCCCCCTCTCTACACCCTCTCTCCCTTTGGTTCTGAATCGTTAACAAAATTGTTATTCATATTCTTAGCTCTTTCGGTAAAGTCACGTTGAAGGGAAACAATAAAATAATAATATATATAAAACAATAAAAATTCTCACGACGTTTCGACCGTTTGTGTTATGGTCGAAACGTCGTGATAATTTTTGTTTGATATATATTTTATCATTTTATTGTTTCCCTTCAACGTGACTTTACCGAAAGAGCCAAGAATATGAATTACTGCAGTCACGAAAGCTTTAAATCAAAATTGTTATGATGTTAATGAATATATCGAGGGTTTGATGAAACAATCTAAGTGGTTACTGAACGTGCCCCCGTGCCTAATTTGTGTTTTCGATTATTTACCTTCTGGAAAAAAAAAATGTTGGCCACGTCTCGCAAGCCTCCCTCCCCCTACCCCCCACCCACCCACCCAGAAAGGGCATCTCGCACTCCCAGGGGGTGCATGGAACCCCCCAGGTCAAGACCCCCTGGCCGAGTTCATGGCTAAGGAACCTACAGCACGCGGGCCCCGCAACTTCATACATTGGGGGAGGCTGTTATTGACTCAGCTCATCATCCCTCCTTCCGGGGGGGGGGGGGGGTCGATAAAATCGCCTCCCGCTTCGTGGAGAAGTCACCACAAGTGGTTGTCGTCCGCAATGGACTCGCTCCCCGCACACTTCCACCCCCACCCCCCCGCCATAGGAATGAGGAATGTCCGCTGCTGCGTAAGCAAATTTTCTCACTCGAGCACGGAGATAACTTTGGCTCGACTGACGATTCACGTTGACAAACTGTCTTCTCAGGCAGTCCATTTATTGGGTAACATTTCCGACATAGTAGCGGCTTATAAATATCTGTGGCTGTCCAGCGAACTGCGAGCCAGGACCCATATCTCACACACGCAGAGGGCCCCTTACCTAATGAACACTTTTATTCTCATTCTACGTGACTTTACCGAAAGAACCAAAGAAGATGAATCATTGCAGTCACGAAAGCTTTAAATCGAAAATTGAACACTTTGCAGTTCACCAGCATTGGCTCAAGCAAAAGCTTCACACTGCTGATGAGACACGGGATACGGAAACCTAAAAGGCTTGTGCATAAACTTCACCCTTTGATCCGCCACTGTCCAAACCAGTCCAGAGTTTGTTGCAATGCCAGCAGAAGGCCGCGTGGCTGATTGGGATGTGTACAATATCAATGTATAACCGTGCTCTTGTTTATTTTTGTAGCGTGAGATGCATTTATGCGAATGCGGTGAATGGTCTACCTGACTTAATTTGAGGACACGAATCCCCGGGGTTTGACCTTCGCTTGCTCGGTCTCTGAGATGCTGTCTACTGGGCGCCTTCGACGAAAGAGCTTTACAGCTCATCGGATTTTCTCCGGTATAAGTAAACATGATTCCGATTAAACTCACCGTTAACCAATTGGCTGAATGCATGCGGGAGGAGTCATTGGACTCGTAGCATTTCCTGCGCAAGTAATCGACTATTTTTTGTTTCCTGACCTACCTCTTAAACTTATTTTGTCACGCGCAAAGTGCTTTATTTTTTTTTTTGCAAACGTGGGCCGCACCCCCAAGGCCTCGCGAACTGCGCAAACTTGCCCCCAAAAAAACCCGCGGCGGGTTCCCGAAAGCGCCCTCTCGTTTCTGACCAAGCTCGGCGCCGGGACGAGCATCCTTGACGCGATTTTGCATGAACTCTCTCCCCCCTCCTCCCTCTCTCTTTCTCTCTCTCCCTCTCTCCCCTCTCTCTCTCTCTCTTTTTTTACGATCAGAGGAAACAAGAAGATGCTCGGTGTAGTCGGCACTTTGCTTCGTTCATCATTTCGTTTTTTTTTAAATGCTTTGCTTTAAATGAAAGATGTCACAACAGATTTCACGCTCTGTTCTCCTTACCCCTTCCCTCTCTCTCTACCCGCTCTCTCTACACCCCCTCTCTCTCTACCCCCTCTCTCCCCACTCCAAGTCTATGTTCCCCCTATGTTTTTTAATGTAATATTTGTAATAATATTATCCCCCTCTCTCTCCCTCTCTCTTGTGCATTCCCTGCGGTGCCAGGGAGGATCTGCCCCACCAGTACTTACGCTGCCAGCGGCTCAAACCAATGTTCCGCCTTTTGGGGGACATCTTCAGGAAACTGGGGGTGTCCTTTTACAACAGCAGCCTCGTATATGGGGGTGGTGCCTTACCTGGCTAACAGGCGCCATGACCTCGCCAACTTCGCCTGTCCTCAGGCGAAGATGGCGGTGTACAGAACGAGGAGCAAGACGCTGCAAGGTGACACTGACGGCTGCTCTGTGCTGCTTCCAGTGTTCAGGGGCCTGCTTAAGGCGCGGCTCCGGCTGGAGCACGCCACGTACCACACACACGTGTCGGTGATGTGCAGCGCGTCTTGTTCGAACGCTGGGGAGCCGGACAAGCCCTTTCTACCAGCGTGTACGACACCCTCGTGTTCATCTTCTGAAGCGCTCGCTCGTCACCGTGGCGTGCGCGATGACCACCACCACCACAACCACCACGTGACTTTTCTTTCGTGTTGCGCGCGGTGCTTTTCACGTCGCAGCGCGTGGATGTATCGTGTTTGTTTTATTTGTGTTGCTGGTGACTTTGTGTGCTTCATATCGAAATCGCCTCCAGTGCTGTTGCTGCTGGTGGCAATAAAAGTTGTTTAAAAGTCAAAGTCTCTCACCCTCCTCTCTCTCTCTCATGCTCCTTTTCACCTTCTCACGTGCTCGCTCGTCGTGCGTGACGTGCGCGACCACCACCACCACGTGACGTCTTTGTGTTGTGACGTCTTTGTGTTGTGACGTCTTTGTGTTGCGCGTGGGTCGCGTCGAGCGCCACGTGCCGCAGCGCGTGGCATTTTTTTTGTTTAACTGCGTTCGGTTATTTGTGTTGCTGGTGACTTTGTGTGTTCCGTATCGAAATCGGCTCCAGCGCTGTTGCTGCCGGCATCAATACAAGTTGTTTCAAAGTCTCTCTCGCTCTCCTCTCTCTCTCTCTCTTTGTTTTACGATCAGAGGAAACAAGAAGATGCTCGGTGCAGTCGGCACTTTGCTTCGTTCATCATTTCGTTTCTTCTCCCTCTCTCTCGCTGCGCCCACGTCGTCTTCTCGTCGGGGGCGGATGAATCGACAGCGAGACGCGCCTCGACAGTTGTCGCCAACGAGCAGTAAACACTCCTCGCACACTCTCGCTGACACCGTAAACCACTCGCTGCTTCTGCGCGCTCCGCTTTAAAAATATATACACACGCGCTACACACACACACTTACACGCGCGTGTGTGTCTATACACACGCGCTACACACACACACGCGCGTGTTTGTCTATACACACGGTACACACACACACTTACACCCGTGTGTGTGTGTCTATACACACGCGCTACACACACACACGCGCGTGTGTGTGTCTATACACACGCGACACACACACACACGTGCGTATGTGTGTGTGTCT